GAGGAGAAAAAGAGGAGCAGGAAGAGAGAGAGAGAGGAGAGGAAGACGAGAGAAAGAGATGAGAAGAGAGAGAGAGAGCAGAGATGAGAGGAGAGAGAGAATGAGAGAAAGAAGAGAGAGAGAAAAGAGAAGAGAGTCAGAGAGAGCGGAGAAGAGGAAGAAAGGCCAAGTAGAAGAGGCGAGAGAGAGAGAAGAGAGAGAGAGAAAGAGAGAGAGGAGTATATGAGAAGAGAGAAGCAATGAGAAAGGAGAAAGAGAGAAGAGACGATTAGTCAGAAGAGAGAGAAGAGAATGAAAGGCAAAAAGAAGGAGTAGATAGAGAGACAAGCGTCGCAGAGACGCTGAAGAGAGAGAGAAGTGGAGAAGAAAGAGAGAGAGAGAGAGAAGAGAGAGAGAGAGAGAGAGAGAGAGAGAGAGAGAGACAGACAGAGTGTGAGAGAAAGAGACAGAGAGAGACAGAGAGAGACAGAGAGACAGAGACAGAGAGAGAGAGATTGTAGTAGACAGGTGAGTGGAGGTTGGCAGTAGTCTCTGCGCGTCTAGACCTGGGCGCTGCATGTCTGCGCATTGCCGCCGTCGTGCTCCTCTCTTATCTACACATCGTGCAGTAGTATTCATTCGCCTTGTTTTCACGTCATGTGGCTATCGTGTGAAAGACAGTGACTCTGGGGACCAAGAGCGGGGAAGAGCAAGCGGGGTTTGCGGAGAAAGTGAAGGGGTTGTGGAGGGATAGCGTGGCAGGTACTGGGACTGAGAGTGTGTGGCGGAGGGATGAGAAGAACAGATAGATGATGACATCAACGGAAAGGGAAGTTGGAGGAGGGGTAGGAGTAGGAGGAGAAAAATGAGTAAAGGGCGTGCAAGCAGGCGAGTGGGGAAGGGGAAGGAGTAGAACGGGTAAATGGTGGGGAATATCAATGGGGAGAGGAGGGGCAGGAAGACGATGGGGATCAGGAAAATGGAGAGATAATGAGAAGGAGAGAGAGGGAGTGAGAGAGAGAGCGAGAGAAAGCTATTGCTAACCCAGAGTCAGAGACAAAGCGCCGGTAATGCGGGTCGCATGAGAGCGTCAGGGCAAGGTCATACATCGGCAACGGCGGCGGCGGCTGCTGCTGCTCTAATAACATCTCTAACAGATGATCAGGCAATCTCAACTCCTTGTGGAACCTGACTCGTGCTAGTTTGAAATCTGATTATAAAACGCGAACGCCCAATTTTTCTTAATTTGCACACATTCGCGCGTAATCAGATTGGGCACTCATTACGCAGGATTATGCAGCTGGCAAATTATTCTAATGATGACAAATTTTCAATTTCTGACAGAAAGTTATAATTTCCCATGTATGGTAATTGCCTCAGCCAGCAGTTCCTCTTGCTATTAATGCCCTTCCTTTTCGCAGCAATAAATCAGGATATGATAATTTCCACAAAACCTTCGGTGCCAGTTGTATTTGTTCTCGAAATTGAGTTTCCTTAATGAGAATTAATGAGAACTTGTCATTCACGCAAATATTATTTATCGTTTAATATATTCTAAAATAAATCGCTCTGCGGCTGATACCACCAGACGTCTGGCCATCAGAGAATATATCGCCCGTGCCTCACAAGCGACAATGAACGCGCATATAAAGCAACTCCATCTTGCCAATAAGGGCTGCGCATGTGCCGTGACGTGCACGAGTGGAAGTTTATCAGCGCGCGCTGACGCCGCTGTCGCGTTGAACAAACAAACCGACGGTCATAAACATGCGGGATGACTGAGATGAGCCTTACATGTACTTCACGCGCGTTACGTACAACGTATATGTAAACACGCCAGTAGGCTCGTGAGAGGCATGCGCGTGTATGAATACATGAGTGCGGCAGCGCGGAAGAGCGTGAAGAGGCATGTGTAGTGACGACGAGTGACACTGTCACGCACGTCTATAAGCGATATATAGAGGATCGTGTTTGGGGGCGGGGGCGTGGGGGGTATCGCGTACATAGCTATAGTGAATGGGAAAGCACGTGAAATTGTCGTTGATTCCGAGCCATGCTGTGAATGATGGATGAGGTGATGAGGTTGGATGGGTTAATACCGCGGACTTTCTATTGTGGAGTGGCCTACGTGTTAGTGTGTGCAGCTTTCGTCCTTTTTGTTTCATACGCTCTTTCTGTTTATGCATCATTCTTCTCTCTTTCACCAAGAATTAAATTAATCTACAATTATTTAGAATCAAAATATTGTGCGCGTGATACCTCGAAAAGGATTAATCACTGGCGATCTGCACCCACTTCTATCCACTTCTAAAATTGGTTCAATACGGTAATATCATCTACTTAGAACTTGATATAATTTTGAACACGCGATAAAACAACTACGATCTAAGTTCGATGAATAAACGCTCAAAAGTAGGTAATATCATATTTTATTTTACACGAACACACTATTTTACAGTATCTCACAGAACACAAAACGCACCCTATTCCCAACCCCCGCGTGTATACAACAACACACTTCATTACAAGACTAGTGTGCAAATTGGAGTATGAATATATAGACAGTTTGCTATTACAAATCATGTTATGAAACTGCTATAATAACATTTATAGTAACAAACTGCGTTAGAGTTAATAATGCGTCGCGGGTCATCACACAAACATTTGATAGATACATGAAGACGCGGCTGCCGAATCGACCTAGTGTTATAGGGCTGTCAGCGTCAAAGCTCAGGCCTGTTAATCTAGAACGCGAGTCGTCAAATAGCCAACACCGATTCTCAGAGATGTTTCGTGCGCGGGAAAAAAATCGACAACACACCGACCCGTGTGATATAATTAATCGTCACGCAGTCGAGCTCAAAGCTCGCTGCCTCTCTATATGCCGTCGGCTGCACAGCTAAGCTCTATCGTCGGAGCGGCAGGGCAGCGAAGATTTCGCGCTCATCGCTCGCGTGGGAACAGGGAGCGCGTTCGCACGACGCCATCTTTGTCACGTGCGCGACGACGTCACCGCGTCGCTTCCAATCATCACTTCGTTGCAGACGCACCGCATTCGATTTCACATTCTCTCGCGCGGTAACATGACAAGATGACAGGGCCCGCCCATACCGTAAGCTCGAAGCGAAGACACGAGCCATCCCGCTACGTGCCGGTAGGTCCGGGATATGCTGGCGTCTCACAGAAGTTACAATATATATATATATATATATATATATATATATATATGCCAATGATATGCCGTAGGCATTCAGAGTTGACACATTGATATTTCGCTCTGGCTAACGAAGCACGAGATCAGCAATGCACACGTTCTATATGCGTACCTCGAAAGAACCCGTTCGCTTGCTTTAACTTCTTGTTTTCTTTGCGCGACGAATGGTCGACGTGGGAACGGTCACCGCCATGCAGGTAGTCCCTTTACGCGTGTGCAAGTGCACAACTCACTAACACATAAGCAGTCAGTGGGGTGCAAGCAGCCAGCAACACACAGACACTGAGTGAGGTACCGGTGACGCAACACGTGCAAGTGGGAGAGTGAAGCTGTTACGTAGCCTGTTTTTCCATTAACCATTTACAAGAGTGATTCTTCATCACTGGACACATTTTTTAAACTTGGGTATGAACTAACAAACCACGCCAGGCAAACGAACAGTGGAAAAATGCCTACGTACACTACACACACACACACACACGCGCGCGCGCGCGCACGCACACGCACATGCACACACACACACGTGAACGCACACGCACGCGATCGCACACGCACGAATATACAGACGCACACAAACGCGCGCCCAAACGCCCGAACGAATACACACTGTGAATTGTCCGTCCATCATCATATAGATTCCTTCGCTGGACCAAATCACCTCATCCCAGATTCTTGCATAATCGATTCATCGCGTTTGTAAAACAGGCCATTTTCTAAGCTAGTGCACGCCACCACATAGGGACGCTACCGGCATTTCCTGCGTGGTTCGAAGAGAAAGCTTCGAAATCACCGGCGACTGACTGAATTCGAGGGATGGCGTGCGATTGGCTAATGATACCCACGTGAGAAGGTGACACGAAGGTCTGACGTCACAGCGAGAACAATGACGATTGGAGACTGCAATATCTGCAAATATTACTGAAGACAAACAAGATTGCAAACGAACCACACGCATTGCACTTGAAAAGGGGTACCATGAGGTTATAGCAAAAGGTTCGTTCAGGAATCTGTAATGAAACCTGCCAGACACGGAACCCCCCTTCCCCTGAATGCAGTCTAAAGCCATCACGTGCTTCGTCGATCGTTGGATTAGATCACGCGAGATTTAATCATCGATAAATTGCGGATTTCGCGGACGTAGAACAGGTATGGCCGTGTTGATACGGACGCGGGGAGTTAATGTAGGAAGCTAATGGCCAGTGTCCCGCCTTGACTGCATGCCGCTTACTGCTACCGAGCCAACGAATACATGATCGTGGCTTCGGCTGGCTTCTATATGCACGGAAACCACGATTAACGAAGTGGCAGTGAATGGCTGACACACGCACGCACATACGCAAGCACGCAAGCCCGCACGCACGCACGCACGCACGCACGCACGAGTACATGTACGTTTGGACAGCAGCCCATTGTCCGTGAGAACTTCTATAATCGCAGCCCTGCGAGATAGAAGATTTTTTTAGTTTGCTCCTACCCACCGATAGCTTATGTAAAGCACGTAAACATTGCGGCGTTCGCAAGCACTTTCACACCGATGAGGAACCTACGATAGTGTGTGTGCCTCGCACACAGGGCTCGTGGGTGGACCGTGGCAGCCACCTGCCACGGAAAGATTTGCGAAGGAGTGTAACTAGTGTGGTTAGTGTTATGTCACCTAACGAACACGACTACATGAGCACCATGTTATTCAGTGATTGCAAACCTATGGGAAATGTCCCGCGTAGCACGACCGCCCGCACGCACGCCCGCACGCACGCACGCACGCACGCACGCACGCACGCACGCACGCACGGACGGACGGACGGACGGACGCACGCACGCACGCAATTAGCGCTGTGTACCCTGGGTGTATCTAGCTGGCCGCTACCACGACCACAGCATCGACAGACCAGACCATCGACGTAACCCATCGACATTCCGCGGTTATAATAGCACGTTTGAATTTATATATGTATATATATATATATACAAGTAGCGTTTGCTTGAAGAATCGCCAACATCTGACAATTTCCGATCCGGGTCGCCCCGGCAGTCAATCATTGAGAGATCTACGGAACTACGAAGCAAAATAAACACGCATAACTTAACATCTGAATTCTCAGCTCTACCACACAGGCGACTGCCGTGTCTAGTCGGTGACCCGGAACAAGGGGAGGTAGGGTATATTGCCTTTTGGTTCTCATCCCTGTAGTCTCGCCCCCCTCGGATACGTCCTGCGAGAACTAATTAGCACGCTCGCTGGATGCTGCATGAGCTGCTCGTCATTGGTGCTCTCCCGCATCCTCGGGATAGCAGGGGGCCAAGCCGATGGCTTCCACTGATGGAGGCTGCAACCACCTTGCGTGCGGCTCTCTCTATTTCTCTCCCTCTCTCTCTCTCTCTCTATCTCCGAGGAGCAGCGACGAAGCAAGGCTTACGCCAGGACTACGTACACATCGTAAACAGACAATGTCCCTGTATGTGGAAGGTGGGGCCCACCCACCGGTCCTTTCATATATATATAGATAGATAGATGTACATGAGTGTGTATAGTAGTGCCTCTCCTACACGTACTAAACACCAGTGCAGCTTCATTTTTCCGTTTTTCCCATCAGGGTACCCTGTTCAGCTGGTCACGCAGACACAAGTGCATGTTACGCTTCTCACAATTATATGCGAACGCTCCCCCTTGCACACCCGAAGCCAGTTTGCATAAAATTCATATATATATCTATATATATATAATAATAATATTCAATATAACGAGTAACAAAAGCAGTTTAAAATGACGTGACAGCAGGCCTCACTGTGCGCGCGCGTGCGTGTTGCTACCATACACGTATAAACACGATCAGTGAAGCACTACATATTTCCACAATGTAACATACTCACTATATATATATGTATGGCACGCTACTAGCGACCCCTGGTGCCCAGACAACCGTTGATGCACGTGCGCAGCTCTAGCACACAGAAAACCGACTGTCGGTGTTAAAAAGTTAACAAAAAAAGAACATCATTTGTCATGCCACGGTCCGTCTATCGTCCGTGGATCACGCCATAAGGAGGCGCCGCTCGGCGTGAATCTCATAGGGGCTTGTGCGTCATCGCTGGTGTCCCGCTGACTCTGTCCAGCTTCCCGCGCCGCAGCGCACCTCTCCTGCCGATGCTCCGTGTTGCCACGGTTACGACGCACGACGCGTCCGCGCACGGGACAGCCCGAGATGGCCACTGTTTGTCGCCGACGTGCGAACAAGCGAACGCCGGCGCGTGCGGCGCACCTATCGGAGGCTGATGGCGGCGACTTCTGTAGCTCCTCCACAGAGGAAGGATCCGCACAGTAGCAGGCGCCACCGCGAATGCTGCAGGAGTGACCAGACGCTGAATATCGTCCGCCAGTGCAAGCCGGACTGCCGATCGCGTCACGGCGCCTTTCTTCGCACGCAAGCAAACTACGTGTGTATGTCCATGACGTGTCCTAAACTGTCGTGGATCGTCGGGCTCTGCGCGGACGCCATCGCCGCCATGCCGTGGTGCGACATGTGACTAGCCACGTGGCCGGAGTGCGCCATCATCATGTGGTGTGGGTGGCCCGGGATCAGCATGGCCTGCGAGTGTACGGGGCTGCGTAGGTGCGATGCGTGGCTGCCGTAGCCGCCCATGCCGTCATGGTGGCCCGCTCCCGGATACATCCCTGCAACACAAACGCAGAAGCCCGTCGTTAGGGGGAAAGTCGTCAATAATTGATTCAAACTCGAAGCTGTTCAAACGCAAGTGTTGAATTTTTAGCGTTGTCGAGTTGGCTCGATTAGCCATTTTAAGTGGATCGCCATGGGTCTCCAGTGAAGGTCTGGGTGACACCTTTTTCGAAAAACAGTGGCCGAAGCGATGGGCTTCCAGAATTTTGGCCTTCAAGCTATCCCCCTGACCATAATTTGAGTCACAACCAAAATTTTGAAGAACACTCACTAACAACACAAACCCTATACAACCCAACCCCCTTTTCCAATCATTATGCCGGTTGATGAAAACATATCAGAAAGGGTCTAGGAATGAAATGTTTTGATGTATCCTGTAAGCATCTACATATATGTTGCGATAAATAAACTGAAAATAAAATGTTTCCAGAGTAATTCGTCAGTAACTTAATTGATTAGTGCATCTTATAAGTCTCCACAGGTGGTCTAGGAATAAATCTGCCGTAGGCTGTATGCAGCGTCATATACCCCACATTTAACCAGTCAATGTAAAACTTGGCAGATTTATGCGGTTCACGATAGCGGAATGTCAAATCAATGACTTCAAATACCGAGGCGTCGGCGTAAACCTCGAAATCAGACGACTCGCATGATCGGTTTCAGACAAAGTGCACTGCGCTAAAATAATCATGAGCGCGTCGTAAAGCGATACAGGCGTTATTAGTACAGCGTTCACTGACAGGCAGGTTACCGCGGTGCAATTCGCGCCGTATTTGCTTATGCCGACGACCGGCGGAAATGGAAAGGCGGCCGGTACTGTTCACTTGACAGCTGTAATCGGAATAATGGCAGCGGCGGAGGTGCGTCTGGACAGCTGCGGATGCCTGTGACGTTTATGATATTTACGCTTGGCGTTGCCGCAGCGTACGCACTGATTGCGAGGGAGGTACCAAAGAGTTACCTGTCGAATTGCGTGTCGATACCAATGTTAGGGTGTCAGTAGATGGACGCTCATAGATAGTATATTCTACCTGTTATGACTGCTATTAGAAGGAAATTAATGATGCGCAATTTATCAAGACGCCGCAATTGCATCCCTGTTTGTCAGCCCTCGTCTGGGCTCCCGCATACTAATGTCCGAATTTATAATCACGACGTTTTGCCCATTGAAAGCGGCGAGTGCAGACGTACGCACCATGTCTGAGGTGCATCTGGTGTTGGCCGTCCATCATGCCTGGGTAGCCTCCGGTCATGTCTGGTCCCTCGGGACTATACACTCCTGCTGGACCTGCGCACAAGTAACAACACTGATTAGCCGAGTCAGTCTCGAAAAAATTTCCCGTGAAAAAATGTCTTCGGTTATAAGGAAGGGAGAGAGATTTCAATAAAGACTGAAACGTCAGTGTGGTTAGATGTCTGTAAAGATAGTGGTGTCTATAAGCATTTATACCGAAATCCAAAATAACTCATGGTCGAGATAAACTAGCAGCACCCCAATGTGAAGGTCAGCAAAAGTTAATGTCCATCACCTAGAATATAGATACAACATGAACGCTAACAGAAATCAAGAGTATATATAAGATTAGGGTGCGAAATTAACGCGAGTCCGGAGTCAAATACTCCCTGATTTGACATATGCAGGAGTCCGTGTGACTCCCTGAAAATTCTGCTATACTAACTAGTTCGTTCCAGAGCACGGCCTCGCGGAATTACCGTATTTTTTTTTAGCTAATTTTGAACTTCAGACTGCGGACTCCCTCTTTTTGAGGGCAGGGAGTCCGTTGGACTCCCCTGTTCAAAAGTTAATTTCTACCCCTGTAAGATACATGCACGCTCATTGTGAGACATTTACACTATAAACCGCATGCATATTATAAGGCTCATGTGCATCAAAACACAATATACATGCATATTACTAAACACATGTATATGATAAGGTACATTCACATTATATGGCGAATATGTACACTGTGAAACACGTGTATATTACAAGACACATAACACATATTTAAACATACACTAAGAGGTGAATGTACATTTTAACCTACATGTAAATTATGAAACATATACATAAAAGGTTAATGTGTAAACGTGCTACGTGTGAAATATGAAACACATACATTATTAGGTGGATGTGCATTATAGGACACACATGAAACAAGCAATTGCAAAGGCGATTGCACAGATAAGCTTACTATAGACGTGGACGCAGGCTTAAAATTATAGGTAAACAAATATTATTAACGTGATGAACACTGCATCATTTTGTTTTCAAATTAGCATTAGTCGGTTTAGCCGTGGCATCTAACTTCAAATCTTTCCAATAGAGAGCGCCATGCGATTGACTTTCTCGTCCTTTGGTTGGGTTAGTGAATGAAGTTTAGATGAAATGCTTTTGACAGAGAAGATCAACAGATATTGGGATACCAACACGCCTCAACGCATCCGAATTGCAGAGTGGGAACTTTTTTTGTGGCGTTTGAGAATATGTACGATGAATTTTAATGTGCAATCTCATGGAAGAATTTCGCACTCTGTCTGCGTGTGATCGAAATGTCAAGATTCCTACGTGCTGATAACATCTGTACTGAGGCCGAACTGTGAACATTCTGCTTGGTAGTTTGTAGCGACAATAACAGCAAATTTTACCAACGTACGTATCTAGCTACCCTTCCTATCGCTCCCCGTATTTTCCTCTCAGAATAAGTTCATTGTCATACAGCCCTTCCTCATATGGCTATAGTGTAAAATGCTAACTCTCAGCATGACACTAAGCAATACCTGCGCACCAGTCATCAATCGCTGCTTCCGTAAGAAACCCTCACTGGTCCATCGCCAGGAGGAGAAGGAAGGAAGCTGCGACTCGCACAGAGCTCATTAAGGAAGTCGTGCGAGGTGCTAATTAGGAAATGGACCATCGAAATTGACGCGTTTCTCACTGCGGATGGAACTGCTGCAGGAAGCACTGATCCCCGACAGGTCCGTAGTGCAAATGGAAAGTGCGTCCCTATCTGACTTCATTACAATTTATAATTTCCTCCCAGGTGATTTGGAACAGGAAGAGGAGGGTTCGACTCATTATGGCAATTAAACTGCAATCAGCCAAGGTAGAAATCTGGCGGGCGTGGCATACACGACAGAGTGGTACTGCTAGTAGATTCCACGGTGAAATATTTACATTAGGCTTCCAGAAGGGAATGGGAATTTCAGAAAGAGAATGAGGCCTCCAGAAAAAGTACTTTACTGCAATGAAATTGAAGTACGTATTGAATGAAATTGAATACACGTTTGCGAACAAAATCACGAGATGCCCCCCCCCCGCAGACACGTATACTGGCAAAGTTTCATTTACTTCCGATTTTCTCCATTCAATAATTCCTTATCCGTTATCGACACTTGAAACTGCTCATTTACTCTTCCGACCCTGCCTCCCGCTCTGAAGGCAGCGTATCAGACGTGTGCATCTGTTCACTGTCCATCCATACATCCATCCTCTCCGTTCGCCGTAGGCAACAAAACTCCTCATCCTCTAGCGCGAGGTAGGCGAACGTTCTACAGCCGGCAGCGCGCATCGTCACATAAACAAAGGACGCGCCATCTTGTCGGCTTTGCGTGATTTGCATCTCTCATCGCGCGCGCGGACGCGTCGCAAGTCCACGGATTCAACGAAATATGCTGACATTGAGATGTTCGGAGGTAATCCAGCTCGCTGCGACAAACTCTCAACTGTTGTACGCTGTAATTACCATGCGGGAATGCAGGAGAAAGAGAAAGAGAAAGAGAGAGAGAGAGAGAGAGAGAGAGAGAGAGAGAGAGAGAGAGAGAGAGAGAGAGAGAGAGAGAGAGACTCTCTAGACGTAAATCGGAAACAAACAACGATCAAACGACCTGCTTGACTTAAAGGAAACAACACGAATTAAACGACCTCTCTAGGACGTAATGGAACAAGGCAATGATTCAAGACAGCCTCTCTGAGACGTGAGATGGGAGACAACAACGATTCAAACAACCTGCCTTGATGTAGCAAGAACACACAACGAATCAAACACCTCTCTAGACGTATAGGAACAACAACGATTCAAACACCTCTCTAGACGTATAGGAACAACAACGATTCAAACACCTGCCTTTGATGTATTAGGAACAAACAACGAATCAACACTCTCTAGACGTATAGGAACAACAACGATTTGCGAATACACATGCCTTGATGTATAGGAAAACAACGAATCAAAAACACTCTCGCTAGGACGTATACGGAACAACAAGCGATTCAAACACGACTGCCTTTGATGTAGCAGGAACACCGAAGGCCGCGATGCGAACCGCCATGATCAGCACAGTGTCCCTAAATCAATTAATATTAACTCGGCAAAAGTTAATGTTCATTACTATTGTAAATTTTATTGGACAGTAGATAACATCCAGCAGCTATATCGCTAGTTAGAGTGAGAGTGAGATAGGGAGGGCGTAGGGAGAGTGTTGTGTGTGTGGTGAAGAGAAAGAGGGGGGGCAAAGAGCTAGAGCACGAACGAATGACGTAACAAGCTTCCGAAATTGAATGGTAGCGACTGACAGATTCAATTCGTTTGCAATAAAAGATCCGATTACTATGTCCCCGGGAGAAGACACTGCTCCGTAAGCCACCGAAATAGGCGACATCTCCGTGAACGCTTCCTTTAAAATTGACTGAAATTAGATCGGCTTTTCGATCAAAATAGAGACTGCAACACCAACGAACCGTACGCTTTGCATGGCACTGGACACCCGAACCACACAGTGTGCCACCCCCAGCAATGACTGCACAACCGCGGCTTTCCACTTCAAGAGATTGCTTTCGAATTAAGTGTGAAATATCCCGCAAGTATGAATCATTGTGGAATGACTGTATAGAACAGCTAACGGCGGAAAGTTTAAACGCATTGAGAAGTGCGAAATAAGATAGCGGCGATAGATAAAGAGGGATACGCGAAGGGAGGAAGCGGAGAGCTAGAGAGTATGAAGAGAGAGCGCGCACGCTCGAGAGAGCGTGCCGTGCCCCCTGGTTGTGCTGCGGAGAAACGAGGCTGACAGCCGCGGGCGCTGCCGAGGTGTGATCCATCACGGCGCGGCGCGGGCGACAGCCGCCACTGTTGCTGTCACGCCGACGACCAGCCGGCAAAGCTGCCGGGCAAAATGGCCGTCATCAGCGGCTCGTTTCGTCTGCCGATCAGCCATCCATCAGCGGTCGTGCACAACCCCGCGTGGGGAAGGGGGTCCGTGAGGGCGGCTGCGCCCCCGAGTTGGGGACCCGCGGATCGGGGCTGCCGTCGGGCGGCCCGCCCATGAGGCGACCCACGGAAGCTCTCTCCCCTGTGATGGGGGGGGGGGTCGGGGCGGGCGGAACTCATGGTCCGTTTCGCGGGCCCGCCTGCTCGCTGCCGCCGCCGCCGCCGCCACGGTGACCATCAATCACGCTGACAGTTGCCATGACAACGCACGCTTAACATGCCGATTTCGCATTTTCGCTGGGTGCGGCGCGCGCATTGGCCCAGCTTTGTGATGCGCGGCGGCTACGGCGTAATGGCCGTACGCGCGGCGAACGGCGGCGGCGACACTGGCGATGGCACTGGTGAGGCCTGCGTGATTCTCTCCTGGCGCCCTCTTGCGGGCGAGGTGGAGTGAAGTATCCACATGATGCGTTAGATTCATGATGCTGTAAGCGACGAGTGACATTGCGTGGAGCTTTTATGAGCCGATAAAGTCTATTCTAAGCGACCAACCGCGCTCCTGAGGCGAGAATTCATGAACTCTTTCACACACTCTCTCTGCCTTTCGCTATCTAGCTCCCTATCTCTCCATCCACCCATCCATCCATCCATCCATCCATCCATCCATCCATCCATCCATCCAATCATTTATCCATCCATCCATCCACCTATCCAACCACCCATCTATCCATTCGTCCGTCCGTCCATCCATCCATCCATCCAATCATTCATCCATCCATCCATCAATCCATCCATCCATCCATCCATCCATCCATCCATCCATCCATCCATCCATCCATCCATCCATCCATCCATCCATCCATCCATCCATCCATCCATCCATCCACCTACCTATCGTTTTCTCTCCTCCTCCCTTTCGCTTTCTTTCTTTTTATTATAAACATACCCACCACCGCGTATTGGAGGACTCGATTCTTGCCCTCGTAGATCTCACGATAAATGTTTTTTGCCACATTTGAGTATGCAGCAGCTCAGTGTGATAGGAGAATCTGGGCCCTGCTGGTGAGGCATGCCTGTG